TTCAGCAATACTTACATGTCCCATACGAAGAGGCGTTAATATGAGTTCTCTTTCTTTAGCGAGAAATTCAATATTTACAATGCCAGTTTCACTCAGAGTAAAATCGTAATAACCGCTACCCTGTGCAATTGGTATATGTTCACGATGCTGTTTAGCCATAAATATACTAACATGATCAGATAAAAACAGTGTACTATTCACAGCCATAAAGCTTATTTCATTTGTTATTGATGGCGTATGAAGTTTTTGAGTTTTATGCTAAAATAAATAAAAATTCAATTAATACCAAAATAAAATAAATATTAAAATAAAAATAAGGTATAGATAGAAGATATAGATATAAATAATATTGTTTTTAAAAGTTATATTACGCTCAGAATATTCAGTTGTATGTTTAGCACATTTCCAATCATAATTATAACTACATATATTAATTATACATATATATATATATATTTATTTTTTTAGCTTACATTTGTGGCTGCAAAGACCGGCGTTTCGGCACGTATATTAAAGTGATTCAGTATGCCTGGTATATAATTTGTAACATCACCACGTATGCGGAAATTTGGCACTGGTTCCGGAAATGTTGTAACAAATAAATCTTTACTCGGTATAGGTACACCTTTAATAAACTCTATTACAGCATTTCGACGATAATGCAATGTTGAATCAGAGTGGAAACGTTCATCACCAACAGCGAACTTCCAATCAATAAGCAGCGATGAAATATTCATTAATCTACGGTTTTGCGCATCTTGTACTTCAATTTCTATTTCGAATTTTTCATCGCGATCTTTGAGATGTAGAAGCGAAAGCTTCATTTGCATAGGACACGTTGGACGCAGTTTCTCAGTGGCATATAAATTAAGAAAACGTGGAGCAACACAATGTATCTCAGTCAAAATTTTGGATGTGTAAGGTATGAAATTCTTTGGCACTAATTTATTAAAAATCTTGAAATCAAGAGTCGTACTACCGATTTTAGTACATAAAATATTATAAGCATATATAGCATTTGAAGATTCAACATCGAGTTCATTGATTTTCGCCACACTCTGATCATATTCAGTCTCCTTGACTAACTCAGCTTCTAATGTAAAAATGCGTTGTTGACCATTCATATAAATAATGTTACGCGACGCACCAATAGGTAAGACAATTTCATTTGATGTAGGATTGAGTATATCAAGTTTGTCGAAAACACTCAACGTAACTTCTTCTTTCAATAATTTATCCTGAAACTGATATGAGATCTTTAAATGCGTTAAACCTGTTGCTGTTGCCCGCAAATGTATAACTTGACAAACAAGTGTCATATGTTCTTTTTTCCAATCAACGTCTTCTACTTGGAAAATTTTATTACTGAACTCTAAATCAAAATCTATCATATCACATGTGGTAAAGGGCACATAAGTGCCATTAACGAACGTATGAAGAGCTAAATGTATACGTACGAAATCATCTAATGCAGTTTCAAAATTATATTTAACAATTTGTAATTTGACCGGTGGCATGAAAAATATATCCGCTTGTCGTATTATTTTAGGATTCTTTGTTAATGCAACTTTTATGCTACCGCGGCTTCGTAATACAGTGCCTGCATAGTAAGCATCTAAATGTCGCTTTCTATCTGTGTCACGTATAATTGTTGTGGCCAAACCATTCTGTGTAATTTGTATATCACGGGAGTTTTGAGATTGCCAAATATAAAAGCCATCACCACCGTTTGCCTCAAATTGAATTTGTTGAATCTTATTGACCTGTGGATCGAATGGTAAAATTACAGTGCTCGGTACCAGCACTAAGTTGTCATAAATATGCATTTCAGCAACAACGCTTAACTGAAAGTAAATCAAAGTTAATAATACTTAACAAACTAAATAATGAAATTAGTTTAACCTGCTTAAATTGTCCAGAAACAGTTACAGTGCCCTTATGCAATGCTTCACCGTACAAACGACTACCATTAGTATTTTCTTGCTTAATTTCAAAATTTCGACTGCTCAACTCTGATACCACACTATACTTTGAACCAAGTGTTAACTTTTTATCATCACTACAATAAAGTAAAACAAAATTTTACACAACAACATATACAATATATATATATATATATTACAATTTACCTCGTGTATAGATCAAAAGCAATTATGTGCATTTCTCCTGCAACGGTTATCCAATTGTTAAAAGGTAAGAGTGTTACACCCAATCTAAAAGGTCTTGCCACAGTAAGTCTTGCACTTGGTGCAGATGATTTTGTTATAGAGTTATCACCAGAGAAGTTATTGTCAAGTGGAGCATTGCGATCACGTAACACTACAACGGTACGACCGAGCTTAAGGCCCGTTGCCTTGGCGTCATCTATACTAGCTACCGTATTATCGTCAATTTCCAAATAATACTGATTATTCAAAGAAATTTCTTGTAATTTTCCCATTTTCAGTTGTAAAATACGGAAGTTAATTGTATCGCCAGTTAACATATGAACTTCAGATGGTTCTAATATGATATTCGCCAAAACACTAATAAACACTTCAATTTTGTTCACATGACGGTATTCTTCATGCGGTAGACTAACTGTCACCTTAAAATTTAAAATAAATAAATGAGCAATTTTTATAATGGAATAAATCACTGAATTACCTTAGCAGTGCCAGTATTTATTCCTTCCAGTAATACCATATAGCCTTTCATACGCTGCACTTCAAACTTCTCTAAGGATGATGGCACTTCATGATATTCACTTTCGCTAAACGATAAGAAACGCAACGCAGGCAGCCAACCTTTACTTTTGCTAGTAATTGAAGAGATTTCCCAATTAAATTCTACACCCTCTAAAGTTGTGAACGCATTGCCTTGAGAATCTTCGGCACGTAATTCAAAAGTTTCTGGCGCCTCCTCCAAGTATAATTGACGTGTCGTTGTGTGTACACCAAGCTTATCAATAACATCAATAATAACATCACAACGCAATGTGGCATCAGTGGACAATGACTCGGCTAAAACAATCGCTGTATTTCGCCGACGCTCCCGTGACACCACAGTAACAGTTGCACGATGAGAACATTCCTCGCTATCGTCATAAAGTGGTGTTATCAGTATCAAGTCCTGCCTCGATGAAGTCCTATTTAATTAATAACATAGTAACATTTGTTTAATATTCAAAAATTAAAGCTTTCAAAAGGTTTTAAGGTTATGTAGTTAAGCACCAACAGCCGGCAATAGCAACAACAATTTCTCACCATTTGAAACAGCCTTTTTCAATAACTTCCAATGTAAAATTTATGGATATTTTATCAAATATTGGTAATAGAACACGCGGATAATTTAATTTTGTGCTTTCAACATTGTTTATAGTTATAAAACTAAACAAAAACAATAAAAGAAATACTTTTAATCTGCACATTTCGCGCCTTTCCTTATTCACACCTTCAACGCAAAAAGTCAAATGAAGACTCTCGCAAACAATTTGACAATTAGGGTTGCCAACGTTGCTATAAGCATGGTTTTGAAGTATACATCGAAAGCGTTGACGCGAAATAATCGTTCGTGATTCGCAGCACAATATTCGTTCGAAATTCGCAGCGAATATTCGTTCGTGATTCGCAACAAAATATTCGCTCGAAATTTTCTACGAAACATTCACTTTCTTCCGCATGTTAGTTTTAATGTCTTGTTGAGAGCATAAAATTGGTTATAATATATATTATCATAGTGGTTATGCATATATTCATCGTAATAAAGGCAATATTATATATGCTAAAATAAATACAAAATCATATTTAAATCAAATATTTCATTATCAATGCTTATTTTATATGTTTATTAATATTTTTATAGTTTTCGAAAGCGCAAAATAAATATATATTAAGTTTTTAAATATAATTTGTTTAGTCATTTTTATAATTCAATATATATTATTTTTTATATATATATTATTATTTATATATATTATTATTATTTATTAATTATTCTTAAGCGTATGTTAATACTGAACCGAAACATTATTTAACTAAAATTTGTATTTTCGATTGAAAAAACATTAAAATCACACAATTTCATTAATAAAAATTTTCAAATGAAATTATATTAATATTGAATTAAAAATTAAATAAAATGTCGTGCACAAAATTGACAACATGCTATTTTCATCCATTATGGTTGACATCATCTATTTTAGTTTTTTAAATGATTCACCTTTGCATAAAGGTACATTAAGTGAATGAAATAAGTTTTGGCACTGAGCTATAAATAGTTTTACTTTTTAATAGGTTTTTTTTTAAAAAACTTATATGGCATTTACACAGTCATTTGAAAGTGTTTACATTCGTTGTTTTTCATTTGTTCTAATTTAAAACAGCTGATTTGGCAATGTGCTTGTTAATTTGATTTTTGGTCTGTGCCAAAAAAATGTTGGATGAAGGTAAAAGATATCTTCAAACATTAGAATATAAACTAAAAACTTATTTTTAGTTTCGACTAAATTTTTTGGATTTATTGTGTATTATTAAACCTGAAATACATCAGCTGTTCAATGTCAGTTTTATAATTTTGTAAAAAAAATTATCTAAAATAGTTCATTTCTGTTTTATATCATCATAATTATTTATTTCATATACTCTACCATTTACGAATAATTTCGAGATATATATGAGAAGTAAATATTCGCAGTTTCGTACAGAAAATTCTGTTTATTAAAAAAAAAACATGTGGTGTTGAGCTCGGTCAGAATTACACTTAATATTTCTTACAGAAGAATTGAAAAAAAATTTTCATTGCAATTTAATTGTATATATATTAAATGATAAAAAAAATTTATTAGCCTGTTCAAGCTACACCATTAATTGCAATAATTGTAATATATTTCAATACATGGCATTAAATATGATACACAATAAATATCATGTTATATTATATTAGATTTATTGCCAATAAAAGGCAGTTTTATTTGTATTTTGTTAGAATGAAGCACCGAACATACTTAATAATAATATTAAACAGACCTTAATATTATCAAAACTTCTTTTTGACATTTGCCATATTTGTTTACATTTGGCACGGTACTAATGCGCTTTTCATTTAAAATTAATTATTTTCTTTTCAATTTGAACCAAAATGTAATATTTTGGAAGGCGAAAAATGATTAATTACTAAACGAATAGTTAAATAAAACAATTGTAGGTCTAATCAAACATAATACATAATCTAAACATAGTTTAATAAAAATATGGAAAATTTAAAGTGAAATTTTGCTGTTTATTTGTAGGCAACTATATTGATATTTATGGGCGTGTGCGAGTTAGGCTAAGTTGATGCTAAACCAAATGGGACATTTTTTGGGATTTTTTGCACTGCACACATTACCCATTTATCAACATGTATCGACACATCACTACATTATCGGCACAACTTAGAATTTCCCTCATTTAGAACGCAACTTAGCCTAACTCGCACACGACCTATATATATTGATATATATATATACATATTGATAAAATAATACTATTCACGAAACTATCTAAGTTTAAGCAACTCATATTTATTTAAAATTATAATAAACAACTGCATGAGTTTTTTGTGTCAATATCTTTTCTATTAACTGTCCTATTTTTCTATTATAACAACAATAATAGAACAATAACTGTTCTGTCAATTCTAATCTTGTTGGAATGTGAAGGAAAATATAATCGAAAGAAACTGGAAAAAAATATTTATTCTAGCACATCATATAATATAACCGACAGCAGATTAGTCAGATGCAGAAGTGATTACAATCATAAAAATAACAAAAAAAAGTGTAATAATTTTTATGAGTTTAATAAACGACCTAAGCTCAGTGAAAATCAAAAAACTTATTGATAAAAATTTACAAAATAATATTTACAGAATCCGTTCGGCAACACATTGTGGAAGGTAAACTGATTTACTATTGTGAATATAATTAAATTTGACAGATACGATGAGTGGTTGTTCTTGACGGATTTTTAAGTTATTCTACCAGCTGTATTTTGTTTAAGGGCTACAAACGCTAAGAAATATACAAAATTTATATTATTTTTTGTGGAGTTTTATTTTATATATTTATTTTAAGATGGTAAATGTTATGAAAGGAGTGTTAGTTAAATGGTGAGTGAATATATCATAGTTTTATTAAATCTGCGTAACTTGTAAGAAATGCTTGATATTTGTTTATGTTTTGAATTGTAAACTGTAACAAATAAATGTTACAATAATTTCATATATTTTGTGTATTTCGTTACGCTGATTGCTTAACTTAAGCTTGAATAAAGTATTTACATTAAAATTACCGATGACATGTAAGCAATGAATGTTTTACCATTTGTCTTCCCACCAAATCTTATAGTGGTTTTAGCTCATTGCACCTTGATATGTTTTTGTCTAGGAAATATACGAATCACCTTCGAACCGATTTCTTTTTAAGGTCCTTCTCTGCTACAGCAAAATCTTAGAGGTTTAACATTTGTTTTATGCATTGAAAAATATCATTAAGCATGTGCATTTATTATAAATGTGTCTAATGTATTTGATTTTTTCCAGTGATCCGGCTATGAAACAATTTCTGCTACATTTAGATGAAACTTTATCATTGGGCTGCAAATTCATAATCCAAGACTTAGATGATAATCACCTATTCATATCAACTGAAATCGTCGAAACTCTGCAAGCACGCATTGATGACCTAATGGATCGCATTAATGTATCAGTGCATGATAAGTAAAAAATAAACTCCATAACACCTAACTCCATATACCTTCAATATCCATATCCACAACAAAATTTAATAATAACTTGTAATTAATTTGTCACTCGATATGTCCAACAACAAGTCATTTAACCTCATTACGGAAACAGCAAAACAACGTACTCTATATGCAGCCACATCCAATGCAACACCAAAAACAGCACAGCAAAAGGATTTAGAGGAAGATATATCGAACCACAAGTCAGTTTCCATTATGTCGAAGAAAACTTCTAAGTTGCGAGATAATAATGGAAAACAAAAGAAAAGTAAAAAGCGTAAGAGAGCACACCAAAAACTTCGAATGAACTTTCAACAATTTCTAGATAGCGAAAAACGTTGTTGTAGTGAGTATGCTCTAATTTACATGCAAGCTGCAGCACCAGCTCCAAAGGTTCCACCTCGTAAATATTGTGCTGTGTGTGGCTACTATTCTAATTATACCTGTACTGTGTGCAGCACTCGCTTTTGTAGTGTTCCATGCATGCAGATCCATCAGAACACACGTTGTGCTGCTCCTAACAGCAGCTTTTGCTGTATGAATCAGACAGCAAATTTAGTTGACTAGTATTCATCAAATATGGGAAATGTTTATATATTTTATTTCATTTTATTTTATTTTCTTTTAATTATAAATACTAAAGTCTCAAACTCATATATTGCTCTTGCAAAATGGTAAGTGAACGTAACAAATAATATATATTTTTTAATGTTAATTTTTTCTTGCCGAGAGTGACGCGTCTTTATAACGAAATATATATTTTTTTATTATATTCTTATTTATTTACTTTATGAATCTATAATTACTTCTTGTGTTTATACAAATAAATTTCAAAAAACAATAAAAAATATATTTATATCAAAATAAAACTTACTTGATTTGTTTTACTTGCCTCCATAATTATTGCGGAATTGATAACAAATAATTTTGGAAAATATTTTAAAATTGATTTTCTAATGGAATATGTTATAAGCAGACACTGATGGGCCCCGCAATTCTGTCCGGTGAAGAGAATTGCTTTCTTTAAACGAACTGTAGCTACTGGTTAAGGTGCGTTGATAGCTGAGTTTCAAATTTGGGAGGACCCGAGTTCGATTCCTGGTAGTTGTAGTTTCAAAAAATTATTTACGAATAATTAAATACAAGAATTATTTCCAAGACCACTGATGATAGGTAATTGGTAATACTCGAAACAGCTATATGGTCAGCCAAAAATTCAATTAATTAAAATATAAAAGGAATTTTTGTTGTTGTAATTCACTACTGTTCGAAAAACCTTTTTAAAAAATTATTTATGTTAATGAAATTAAAATTTGGTTGATACAAGCTGAAATATGTATCTTATGAAATAGCTTGTTTGATCACATTTTACATATAAAACACATAATAAATATTTCAAAGCTTGGTAATTTCCCTTATGGGAAATTTATTTTTAAGCTATTTTTCGCCTTAAATCATTTGATTTATTTATAATAAATTAATTTATATAAAAGCTTTTTGTATGATAAATTATCCTCATTATCGGCCTAAATGAGACAAGTGAAAACGTGGTATAAGAACGTTGTAGAGATGTCGTCTGTTTAACAAAGTTTTGACTATATTCATTCATTAATAAGAATAAAGTTACAGTTTAATAATCTAAATAACAAAATCAACTTATAAAACTCATAATGAGTATTATTAAATCTGATATAAAATAGGTTACAT